CTACGGCCTCCCTGACAGTACCTGTAAGAACCCGTCAACCACGAGTCGCCCGTTGAACCGGTCAACACCGGTATTGTTATTGATTGTTATCCACTATTTAAACGAGAAGATTGTTGCAGTTGCATAATAAATTCTTTGTGAGCGGTTGAGTCCAACACACACCCTATTGGAGTTACATAGCGCAATCACAGGGTACGTCGTTATTGGTTTAGGCGCCGCAAAGAATTTTTGCTTTTTTTCCAAGACGTGGTTAACAGCTGAAAAAAGTTCCTTAGGAGGCGGCCTCTTTCACATAGGCACGCAAACTTAAATTTCTACCTTCCTCCCTCCTGCAATCCTTACACGGCTCTCCTCTTGCGAGCCCATGGTCCATCTTCTGACACGCCTCCCCCTCGGGTAGACATCGTCCCCGATGTCGGCCTTTCCATTTTTGGTAGCATTGCTCCGACCGCACGATTTCTAACAGCTTCATAGACATGTTTGGGTAGAGCAGTGCCTACGTAATTGTGGAAGAACTGTGCGCTTCCCTCCGGAGCGCCTATCTCTATGTATAATTTACCGTCCAATAACTTGTTACTGGCGGTGCAGTATACGTTTTCCTTACTACTGAGCTTTAGTAGGGCTTCATCGAGATTTTTCCATACTTCTGAGGTATTCATCCACTTTGATTGATTGTTTGCCGTGATCGGCGGCCATGCGGTCGCGATGGAACCTCCTTCATCAAGATAGTTCTTAGCTGTTTTCATTAGCTTTTCTGCTATATCGCCTTTGAGCTCGGCATTCTGCGGCCAAACTATCACCCACGCTTTGGAGGTCTTCCACTCCTCCATCAAATCAGCAAGGCGATTCCAGTTCTGAACAACTTTGGTGACGATGCCACCACGAATTCCATCTTTTTCCATCGGATTTGCGCCTTCGAACGTGGCGTACAGAACAGGTCCCTTTTTCTTGGGCCGTTCCCGCACTGAGTCCTCTTCGATTTCTTCACGGAGTTTCCTCAATGCTTCTGAATATGAGCGATGGACGATATGATTCTCAATCGCGGTGTGCTCGGCTATGTATTGAGTGTTACAGATAAAGTCGGTCCAGTCTATGCATCGTCCATAGGCAAACTTCAGGACAATCTTCAATGAATCTGCGTCAAAACAGATGTGTCCATCACGGTGGTATCTGATCTTCGTTCCTAAATCAATATCGTTCCGACGAAATATGCTGCATGCGAGCCAAGCGCTCCACAGGTTCTCGATTTCCTCCTTTGCTACTGCACCAGGAAACGACACTCCTTCGATATCTCCGAGAGTCGCTCCTTGCAAGCAATCGTCGGCGCACTTGAAAAGAAGATGTCCTTTCTCCAAGGGGCTCAGTAGCGACGCTCCTCTGAAACGAGCATTGGTAACTTTACACACCTTCGTTATTTCCTGGGTTTTCTTTCTACCCCTTTTTCCTCTGGTGGTTTGTGTGTCGATTCTTTCATCGGAAATACAGTGTGGCACAATTCTTAGCTTGTCAAACTGTATTCTGATAGGATCTACGTTATCTCCTATCCTCGTGACTAAGGCTGAATTTTCGCTGGTTTCAATCACTCTGAATGGACCACCCCATTCTGATACCAGTTTTGGATGCGCGTTTTTCCCCTTCTCATTGGGCGACACTACATACACTCTATCCCCTACTTTGGGATGACGCTCTTTATTCACCTTGTTTCTTTTGTCGTACGACCTCTTCATTTCTTCACGAACACGATCGTTGTGTTCCTTCACTCTTTCGTGCACCTCTGCTACACCTTGCAACAGTTCGGTTTTATAGTCATCTAATGGCCTGTCCACCAAATACCGTGACTGTCCAGCATTGGGAATAAGGTCTGTTGGGAAATTAGGATCCCTGCCATGTAATATAAAGTAGGGACTTTCCCCTGTAGCTGAATGCGGCGTTATGTTGTAGGCCATAAGACAAAATGGAAGTCGTATATCCCACTCAGTAGGTACCGTCGTGCTCTTCCGCAGCATGGCCAGGATGGTACCGTTAAGTCTTTCTGTCGCCCCATTTTCTCTAGGGTTGTATCCTTTAGTCATTGAGTGTTTGATCTTAGTAATGTCTGTTATTTCCTCCATGACTTTATTTTCAAATTCACCTCCCCTGTCTGACAGGATAGTTTTGGGCCAGCGGCATCCTTCCGCTATCCACCGTACGAAAAGTGTCTGAGCTACGGTGCGCGCTGACTTGTCGGGCACCGGGTAAGCTGCGGCAAACTTGGAGAACAAATCTATCACTGTCACGGCATATCTATTCCCCTGCGAAGTTAGCCCTAGTTCAAGGATGTCAACTCCGATCACTTCATACGGACTTTTCGTCACCAGCGGTTTTAGTGGGGGAACAATGGATTGTCGTGGGTTGTGCACAAAGCACTTTTGGCATTCCTTCGTCCATTTATCGATGTCCTTTGCCATGTTTGGCCAGAAAACTTGTCTCGATAAAATATGCATCAGTTTTTGAGCACTAAAATGAGCTCCAAACGGTCCGGCGTGAGCTTCCCGGAATATCTCATGTCTCGCATTTTGCGGCACCACAAACACTTGTGTGCCGTCTGACTTATACAACATGAGTTCGCCGTCGACTAGAGTGAAATCTGCCACACGCATAGGGACTTTGTTTCCTGGAAATTGCACTACACTATTCGTCCTACCATTTTCGATGCAATTTATGACCTCAGCAAAAATGGGGTCCTTTTCTAACTCTGTTCTCCAACGAGTTTTCTCTTCTGATTTCAGTGAGTTCACTATGGCGCTGTTCTCGCCCTCGAGCGACTCTTCTATTGTCGCACTTACTGCTCCTCTGCTGAGCGCGTCGGCTATTACGTTAGCTTTTCCTTTCACATACTTAATGTGAAGATTGTAGCGTTGTATTTCCAATGCCCACCTCAAAATACGCGTGGACACATTGCTACGTTGGAATAGCGCGGTGAGGGGCTGATGGTCCGTAATGACTGTTGTCCGTAGTCCGTATATGAACATATGAAACCTTCTCAGGGCAAAGACACAGCTAACGCCTCTAAGTCTGTGATGTGGTAGCGCCTTTCTGCTTTGCTAAGTGATTTGGAGGCGAAGAAGATTGGGTGGAGGTGTCCATCTTTTCCTTCTTGTGATAATACCGCACCCAATCCTGTTGTTGATGCATCCGTACATATTACAAATGGCCTGTCGCCGCTTCTCGCAGCTCCTACGTCCGGCTGTGCTAGAACCGGGGCATTACAAATCATGTTTTTCACTTTGTCGAAAGCTTCCTCGTGCTCTCGAGTCCAGTCCCACTTCGTCTTTGATGAGGTTAACTTATACAAGCAGCCAGCGTATTTTGAAAAGCCCAAGCAGAATTTTCGATAGTACGAGGCCATTCCCAAAAACGTTCTTAGCTCCTTCACATTCTGTGGTCTTGGGTACCCTTTCACTGCTTCTACCTTTTTGGGGTCCATGTGCACTCCATCAGCGTCGATCAGGTGTCCTAGAAAAGCTACCTTGTTTTGTAGGAGCACACACTTTTTCGCTTTCAAGCGTAGCCCGGCTCCTCTCAATTTCTCGCAGACTTTGCCGAGCAGCTCCAAGTGTCTTCCCTTTGTTTCCGTGCAGATGATGATATCGTCTAGATAACAGAAAACTTCTGTCCCTAGCAGATCGTGGAGTACATCATCCATGAGTCTTTGGAAAACGGCGGGGCTTGTGCTCAATCCGAAAGGGGTCACTTTGAACTGAAACAGCCCTTCTGGTGTGGTAAATGCTGATTTTTCTCTCGCCGTTTTTGACAGTGGGATCTGCCAATAACCACTGCATAAATCCAGTGTCGAGAAAAACTTTTTTCCAGCAAGACTTTGCAGGACCGCTTCGATTGTTGGGAGAGGATAGGAATCCTGTTTAATCCTTTTATTCAATTCACGGTAGTCAACGCACAATCTGAGCGTGCCGTCCTTCTTTTCCACTAGCACTATTGGGAAAGCCCATGGTGACGAGCTTCTCTCAATGATGTCGCGTTCTTGTAGGTCCTTAAGTAGTTCTTTCAACATAGGACGGATACTCAAAGGAACGGGTCTTGCCTTCAATTTTACTGGCGCATTATCTCCTGTATCAATGTCCATTTCTGCAAGTGTCGTTCTCGACAGTTCCTTCTCAGATACTGCGAATACGTCTTCGTTCTCGTTCAGTACTTCTACCACCTCTTCATCCAAAGAACTGGTTTCCATACTTTCCTCAAGTTGCTGCATTAGTTGCTCTCTTCTTTGCTCTTTTGTGACTGTTTCGTGAGTTCTGAGCATCAACGGATTTAAGTCATTCCACTTCTCTTGCCATTTCTCGGTGCTCCATTCTCCTACTTCTTCTCCTTCTTTGAAGAGAATAGCTGTGTCTCGGCTATTGTGAATTGGGACAGTAGCCCGTTTGTCAGATATCTTGAATATTCCACTTGCCAGTTCTCTCCTGTTAGCCCACAGCACCCGTTCATCAGGCCCTGGTTCCTTACAGTCCACCTCCATCATTGCATAGGAGTGTGGGGGCACGTATATTCTCTTGGCCACTTTTGCCTCCTGGTTTTTCTTGCGGTTCTCTGATTGCCCATCCTTACTGTATTCTTCTTCGTCCGTGAGGATCGATACTCTGATTCCTAGTTTTTGTAGTGCATTCATTCCTAACAAACCTCGTCGTCTGGGAGTGGTGTTATATGGAAGATCAACTTTTCCTTCCTTCCACCTTCGACAGAAACCTCCACAGTTACTGCTCCTAAAATCTGCATTTTGTTGCCTGATGCGTCGTATATCGGTCCCAGCTTATTAGGGCTGATAGTGGGAAGTGCGTCGACATCATATCCGTTAGCTTGCGCCTTCTCCAGCAAGCTAATAGGCAAAATGCTTACCATTGAACCGGTGTCAATCAAAGCTGTTGCTTTCATTTCTAGTAGCATGATATTCTTACGGATCAGTTCTCCTATTCGGCCAGAACCATCCTGTTCCCTTCGTTTCCGGGCCTGTATCCCACAGCGGATGATATCTGAGATAAAACATTCTCTTTTTCGGCCCTATCAGTATCTGTGCCTCCGATTTTCTGCACTCTCACTCCTTTCCTTGGGCATTCTCTAGCGAAATGACCTGTTTGGGAGCAATTGTAACACTTCCGCATAGCCTCATTTCCCGTAGGCCTTTCCGTCCGCTTTGGGTCGTTTCTACGTGGCTCATCGTCAGCCACTTTGGAAGAATTCGCTTCTCTTCTTCGCTGTGTGTAGAAACCCTGCCTAGCTTTCCATGGGTTCCATGACATGCTTTCTGAAAGCTTTCCCTTCCCTCTTAGTTGCTTTTCTCCGAACATTGACCGTGATTGTTCAATGCTCAGGGCAAGTTGTTTGACTTCCTCGTACGCTTTCTCTGGATTGGTGCGATGTAATACGCTTACCAATTGGACATGCTCCGGCCATCCATGCAAGTTCTCGAGCAGAATGTGAGCATTTTCAAGAGACCTAGCCTCAGCCGAACTGTCTGGATTTGCTTTCCTAGCCAAATCTTCCAGGACTGCACAAAAATCTGCTACATCTTGACCTGGTTTTATGCGCAGGGCGCGCAATTCAGTAAGGGCTCTCATTCTTCCAGCCACACAATCACTCGACAATAGTGCAGCCAGCTCTCTGACAACCTCTTCGAAGCCCCTGCTGACTACACTCTCCGGTAGCGTCTTCATATGTTCTTAGCGCGGCCCCCTAAGTGGTCATCGCCCAATATCTCTATCAGTGTGTCGTCATCTACTACGACCTTACTATATTTCCGACGAAATTTTCGAATAAATTCTTGAAAATTCTCATTCGGTTTCCCTTTGAAAACTCCAGGATCAGCGCAAGAAAGTGACTGGACGTAATTTAACAAGTTTATATTTGGATCCTGACCTGCGCTGAGTTGTTCCCTTTCCGAAGGAATCGCATAGCTGCTCCAATTGTGTCCTGATCGAACTCCAGTCAGCGGACCTGCCCTTGTCCGTCTCTGAAAAAGCACATCTGCTGGGTTATCTGTTTCAATATCACCGATATTTTGCGTTGTACCTCTCGAATTATTCTGATCCACAATTCTTGAGGGATGTCCTGTGGCCACTGACTTCAGGCCCTTCACGGTAGATACGACCTGTAATGGATTTACATTTAATTCATCACACAACTGTGCCAAAATGTTTCCGTCTCTCTCCGTAGTTTCCACATATTCCTCCCAGTCTTCACTTGATTCTATACCTCTTATTGTCACGACCTCTGCGATTTCTTTGCCCAAAATGCGGCTTAGACTGCAGCGCCGTACCAAGTCTTCCAGCTTTTTGCTTACTTTCTCGAGTTCCTGCCTCAAACTTCTCTCATATTTCTCTTTGTAACGCGCAGAGATTTTATGCTCCGCCATGAGTTCGGTCATGATTGCAGGAATGCCTTCCACACATTTGTTTAACTCTTCAAACTCGTACGACATGTTAACATGTGGAAAACTCACTGGTGTTCTGCTTTCTTTCCCTTCCTGCTCGGGACTCTCTGTATCCATTTCGTTCACCATCTGAAATCAAGTTACTTTGTCGTGCTGCAATGTGTCCAACTTATGACAGAAATGAGGAAACAACGATAGACAAACAGCGAGTCAGGTAGGATTCAAATTAGACCTCAGCTGCCCCTACTTCTGGCAGTGTTACAATCAGCGATGATCGGCCGAAGATCCTTCACAAGGCACAATCTCTATTGGAGCGGCTTGGCCCCCATGTGATTGCGCTATGTAACTCCAATAGGGTGTGTGTTGGACTCAACCGCTCACAAAGAATTTATTATGCAACTGCAACAATCTTCTCGTTTAAATAGTGGATAACAATCAATAACAATACCGGTGTTGACCGGTTCAACGGGCGACTCGTGGTTGACGGGTTCTTACAGGTACTGTCAGGGAGGCCGTAGAAGTGGTTAACAGCTGAAAAAAAGTTCCTTAGGAGGCGGCCTCTTTCACATAGGCACGCAAACTTAAATTTCTACCTTCCTCCTTCCTGCAATCCTTACACGGCTCTCCTCTTGCGAGCCCATGGTCCATCTTCTGACAACCCTTCAAATACTGAATAGCTGAGAATGTTATTGGCATAACGGGAAAAAATCACTTGTTGAGCATCGTATACGAAGGAAATGTTGCAACTTGTCAGCAACCTTGATGGATATAACAGGAAAGATTTTTGGTAAATGTTTTTGATCGCATAAGTAATTACAACGACTCTGGTTGGTCCTCTTACTTGATCAGTCTTCGCGCGAGTGGATATTCACGTAGTTAAGGGTTATTTCACGGTCTAGGTTCTTCTACTCTTCACTGTCCCATTCTTCAAAATTCAGTCCACATTTTGTGTGGAATTTTCATCATGGGTGGAGCTGGTTCGAATCCCGCCCTCCGGAGTACCGAAGAACGCATACCTCTGAACACCTCTATAGCAGTGTTAGGCGCGAAAACGCATGTCACATGCGTTACTAGTGCACGCGCCAAACAGACCTGTAATTCCAGCTCGTGCAAAGTGTTTTCACTTCTGGTAATCAGG